TTTTGCTGCCACCACATCGTGTTTGACATATTCATAAAGAGAAACCATTATTTCATTGAAGGTGCTTTGGATGTTTGGTATTTTTATAATTAACGCATTTTTATTTTTGGTTTTAATCTGACTTCTTGGAGAGAAGTCTGTGTAAGTTGACTGCCCTCTTTTTAATTTTGCAAACAGGCTAGACCATTTTCTAGGAGTTGAATCTTGATTTTGAAGTTCGTTTTCTTCTGGGGTTGGACCATTGGTATATGGGTTATTTTCTGAGAAAGCTGTATTTGCAGTTATATTTTGTTTAACGTGTTCAGACATGTGTTTTGACATGTGACTTGTTTTGTTGTTTTGATTATTATCATTACGTGACTATTTGTCAAGTGAGTAGAGATGTTGGTCTTTCGCTTCTTAAGAAGCTAACTCCTCCCAACTGACTTTGTCCATAGTTGTATTATTGCTTGAAAAGCTTCCTGATGGAATAGCAATATTCTTCACTTTGGTTTGTTGTTTTGGAGAAAAGACTTCTTTTCTCTACAAGTTTTCGCTAAAGTTGTTTTTTTTAGCCATTTTGTTGTTGCTCTCTGGACTTTTAGAAGACATGAGTTTTCTTTTTTTGGTACAAGGGCTACTGCCCTTGTTGGTTCTGGTTTTTTGTAGTTTTCGAACTTGTAGTATAGAGTAATTTTGTTTTTTAATAAACTCTCTGCCCTTTACGTATATATACAGGAGAAAGTGCATGTCGATCTGTTAATTGAGTCTTTTATGAAGCTTCTGAATGTTTTTTTCTGCAGCTGGTTCAGCTTTAATAGCTTTTGCTATAGATTGGATAACACATTTGTGCCAGTCCCAATCTTTAGTGTCCTGAATATTTTGAAGCTCTGTAGAAATGTCTGCTTTAAATTCAGGTGAATTCCAAAATTTTCTATTGAATCTCCATAAGGATTTTTTTGGATATTTGGACCTGAGGTTGATTTCAGTTTCCACTAGCAGATGATCTGAATTACCAAAACGTGTACATGTGTTTGTACATAGGTGACTATAGCTTATTTCGATTAATATATAATCTAGACGGGTTGCCATTTTTTGACCTCCTTGAGTAGTTTGGTGGTAAGTAAGAAACAGACTCTCTTTAGAAAAGAGTGCTGTGTCTATGTAGTCCTTAGTTAGATTTTTTAAGAGACCTTTGGAGTAATCGTATTGTGCTGGAGCCTGGCTTATTCTATTAGTTTCTGGGTTTAGATTGGTGTTGAAGTCTCCTGCTATAATGCTTATACTATCATTTGAAGTGTCTAGAACCCAGTTTCTAAAAAAAGATGTTCTCTTGTCTAGGCTAGGTGGGGCATAAACATTAATAAACGAGAAAGCTTGATGTTTAATTTCTGTCCTAGCTTTGGTAACTCACCCATTGTGTGATTCTTTTTTGTCAGTGAGTTTGATATTCTTTTTGTCTGCTAATATTGCAGTTTTTGAAGACGATATGGAGTCAAATCTCCAAATTTGTGATAAGAAGTGTCTTGTGCTCAAGTCTTTTAAGTTGGTTTTTTGTATCATGATTATGTCTAAATGATATGATTTTAAGAGAGTGAGTGTTCTCTGAGCTTTAGGTCTGTTGTTTAGACCTTTAACATTTAGTGTAGTGATTTTAATCATAAAAAAATTATAGTGTTTGTTGGCTACACTAAGAGATGGGTCTCTTAGTATTGATTCTTAGGTCCTGAGAAATTCTGTTTTGAATTTCCTAGAATTCTATATGGTTGGCCAGATCTGTATTGACTGTTTTTCTTAGGGCTTTTGCCTTTATATTTTCTTGCCATTACTGTAGTAAAAGGAATTATGTTTTGTTTAGTAAAGTTGGAGCTGGGCTCTTTCATCATATTGTTTGAATCTGTTGTTGTTTCATTAATTTCAACATCTGTAGGTATAGTAGAAGAAGAGGAGTCTAATTCCATATTGCTATCTGAGCTCTTGTTAGAATTTGAAATTTCTTCAGGCAAAGTAGTCGAAGCTGGGGCTGCAAGTTCTTTCTTATTTTGAATTACTTCCTCCATATCATTTTTGTATAGATTATTAGGACTAAAATTAATTTCTGTAGCCTCTGATTTTTGTGTTTTTTCTTTCTCCATTCGGGATCGGGCTTCTCTAAGAAGTCGTCTAGTTTCAATTGAGTTTTTAAGCTCTACACAATCTTTTTTAATGTGACCTTCTTTTTCACAGTAAAAACAGATTTTCAGAACTTCTTTCCATTCTGTTACTTTATGGTTTCCAACGTGAGTAGTTCTAGGAATTCTTGAGGCAATTTCTGGGTCATCTGTAGTTTCAAACATAACTAACCATTGATCTGAGCAGACCGTAGTTCCTTCGTAGAAGAGAGGTTTAATGGATGCTATTTGACCAACATCTTGAAAGGCTTCTAGAATATGGTTGCTGATATATTGGGTATCACCCATAGGGGTGTTCTTTACTTTTACTATTAAAAAGGATCGATTGAGGTTGACAGGATATACCCAAATAACGTTTGCTTGAAGAGAGTAATGCCTTCAGCCGCATAGTATTGCACCTTATCCTTATTTTTAAGAACAAGTTCTAGATAGGTTCTTTTCCCTCTTGAGTTGTGAGTTTTTGCTGCGATAAGATCTTCCTTTAAACTCATAGCCAGAGCTGCGATGATATTGTTAGTTGGTATGTTATTCAGATTTTGAATATCAACAACTAGTGCGTTTTCGTTTTTAGAATGAATTCTTTGTCTTGGAGTAGAGTTAGTATAAACTACCTTTCCTCCTTTTAGTTTTGCAAATAGATCAGACTACTGTTTGGGTTTGGTTTCTTCATTTTGTTTGCCTTGTACTTTAGATGTATTAGACGAAGATGATCCTACTAGAATGGTTGGGCGCACAGAGGTTGATTGGTCCTCCGAAGACACGTGAATCATTTGTTTATTGTTTACATTATTTATGTGTTTTGTTGTGCTTGAGTGATCTTCACGTGTTTCTTGTTGACAAAGAGCGATTTCGCTCTCATTTCTTTTCTCCGTTGTTTCTTCCATTTCCACATGGTTTGCCCAGTCTATATTAGACTTATTAAGAGTTGAATCTGCTAAAACATCTGTTTCTAGCTTAGTGATGTTATCTTTATTGTTGTTGCTATTTTCTTCAGTTTTTGCAAAGTCAAAAACTTTATCGTTATTTGAAGAAAGTTTGGCCTTCTTGTTGTTTGGTTGTTTACCCATGTCTAGGGTAATATGTTTATGCTTTCTGGACACTAAGGTCCTTGTTTCGTCTGGGTTTTGAAAGAAATCAAGTTGTGTTTGTACCAAAATTTTGTTTTTAGTATAAATTCCAGAAGTGAACCAGAAAGAGTTTCAAATTATTCAAGGTGTCTTTTTCCATTGTTGTAATTTATATAATGCTATCTCAAAATTTAAAAAAATTGATTCTTATGAGGATAATGATGCATCACAATTATTGTCAAAACTAATTAAAAAAAAAGAAGACTCAAGATGGGTTATAGAGTGGCGTTTTGACCCAAACACCAATGCATTAACACACCTTTTCTGGATGTCCCCCAATCAGCTTGATCTTTGGATGCGATATAGTGATATTATTATTTACGATAACACCGCAAAAACGAATGTTTATAATATGCTGTTATCACTTTTTATTGCCATTGACAACACTTATCGATCTCGTCTCATTGCACAAGCGGTGTTAGATGATGAAATGGCTGAATCGTATTCTTGGTTACTTGAAGTCTTAATTAGAGCTACAGATGGGCTCTATCCAAATACTATCCTGACGGATGCTGATCCCGCTATGTCTCTTGCTATTTCAACTATTTTGCCCTCTACTCAACATCTTCATTGTGTTTGGCATATAAGCCAAAATTTACAAAAAAACCTTAAGGGTAAACCCGCTATGTCTCTTGCTATTTCAACTATTTTGCCCTCTACTCAACATCTTCATTGTGTTTGGCATATAAGCCAAAATTTACAAAAAAACCTTAAGGGTAAATTGGGGTCTGATTGGAATTCTTTTATCAAAGATTTTTACAAGGCTCATAATATGTTAGATCTACAAGCTTTTGAAAATTGTTTTAAATCTCTATTAGATCAGTATCCAAAAGCAGCTCAGTATCTCAATAAAATCTTATATTCTGATAGACAATGTTGGGCAAGGGCTTATACTTTTTGTCACTTCACTGCTGGTGCACAGGCAACTAGTTGTGTAGAATCAATTAATGCTGATTCATTAATTTCTAGCCAGGACTATTATTATGATTTTATTAGCTGGAAAGCATCGAATCCTAATATTAAACCGCCAAACATTTGTGATACTATGTATTAAAATGTTGACTCCATCCTCAAAACGTTTGTTGCACCTAATTTAATTGAGAAAATTCGCTATGAAATAAATCATAGCTTGTTTTATCATTCGATTAAAATCGATCCTGAAACTTTGAACTCATATCAGGTAACTATATTAGCATTTTGTTCATTTACTGATAAACAATTTACTAACAATTATTTCGCGAACAAAATAACCTAACCTAATACGAACCGCCAAAATTGATTGATCTTGTTGGTAAATACGATACGTACTGACTGTTAACTATATTTTATTATTATTTTTTTTGTTATAGATGCAAGATGAAGATACAGTATTCGTTGACAATGCATTTGACTATTCGTTGGCACATTCCTTTACACTTTTGAAACAACTTGAAGAACAAATAATTGAAGTATGGTTCATTTACATGTAGTTGCATGTTATTAACAAATCATGGATATCCTTGTCGACATTTTTTCAGAGTTATGGTATTTTCTTCTGCTGCAAAATTTTCTATTAATTTTGTAGCAAGTCGTTGGTCGTATGAGGAATACCAAAACAAAGATCTTGGCACACAACCTCTTGTCAATCCCAACCACTATACTACGAACTAATAACTCTTCAAATTTATTTTTGGTATCACAATCAACTGCGATTAACCCTTCATCCTATGCCGCTAAAAAAGTAATGGAGAAGAAAAAAATTTATGTAGAGACCATCGGAATCGCGCGTAAAGCAATCAACATTGCTATTGAGACAGATGATTCACAAGTTCTTAGGTTTTTAAAAGAATACATTATTCAAAAGAGACATTCACTTGTTGAAAATACAACTGGTGTATCTCATTTGGGTCATGAAGCAAATATACTTAAGGAATGTTCCAAGTCTAATATAATTGAAACTTTACCACCCACCAATATTTCTAATCCTATTAAAAAGGTTAGAAAAGGTCGACCACCAAAAATGAAATGCTATCAATCATCATTAGAGAAGCAACCATCAAGAAGTAAAGGGAAGCAACATAAATTGATACATGGTCCTGGAACAAATACATGTGGTGAATGCGGTGGCAAAGGTCATAATCGCCGATGGCATATTAAGCATGAAAATAAGAATTCTGATTTGTCAACTATTTGCCAACTTTGTGGTGATCGTGGTCATAAAAAAGGATTGCATGACCATGATTATACCGAAATTAATGATGAAAATGAATGGACGGGGTCTAGTGATACAGAATCAACCTTTGAATCAGATAATGATAATGCTTAATTGTATTTAGAATTGATAGATATATTCATATTTCAGCATGTACAATGTTTTTACATGGTTCGATTTTAACAATAGAAATTACTATGCAAACATTTTAATTTGCTATGTCAATTTTACATTATGACGACTTTTTTTTTTTTTTTTTTTTACCGATGATGTAACCATCTTCGGGCGCGTGTGGCGCTCTTTATTTATAAGTTATTTT